TGCACGACGCCCCCCCCCCCCCCCCCCCCCCCACATTTATGTCTGCCAAGGCTTTCTTTCCAACCACACAGCCCAGATTCAGAAAGTAGATTAGCAGCTATATCTTTACCTTCACAAAAGAGACTATATGAGTAACAATGTGCCGCAGAACTAAAACCAATAAAATCATTATTGGCCTACAACTCACTAGGAGGAAGATTTCTTTCGACTGGAGAAAACCATTGTTGTTGCTTGTAACTGAATGTGCAGCGTACTTACACGTCAAAGCGGTCGTTTTGTCTTTCATAAGGATGCTTTATTTCCAAAATGACAGCAAGGAGAGAGGCGTTAGGCTGCTCGGCAGGGAGGTAATCAAACTGCACCGTATTCGTGGGAGATTTTCACCCACCAGTTTTTTTTTTTATTTTCTTCTCGGGGCGGAGTCATCCCGCCTCTATTTCCTTTAACTCTGCAGTTTGGTTTCATACATAGTTGCATGAGTTTTCCTGGGGGGGTTCAAGTGCTCCTCATCCGAGTTCAGCCTATTGAAAATATCGCCCTAACCTTTATTTAAATACAAAACGAACGAAACATTTATTTACTGTTTTTGTAGTTACTTCCCCCTGCAGCAAAATGATCTGAAAGACATGACGCTGATGGATATTTGAAGCAAATATTTGGTTTATGTGCTTGGAAAATGCAGTTTGTTTACACACATGAAAAGACACCCCCCATTTTACAAATAGTTTAATCTTCATTTTGTGCAGTTGTTTTCCACTATGGCCAGCTGAGACATTTCACCCACTGGGCTGGGAATTAAAAAGCACCCCGCACTTGGAAATTCACAGAGTTCATTCTGATCCAAAGTTGGCAGCTGCCAAGTTGAGGCCATATTAATTAACCCTGTCTCTTGATGAATTGCTCTCCCATCTACTTCGTGCATGTGTATACACTCAGGCATAATGTTTTGCAGACATTTACTTTTGGCAGTGTGCGAGAAAGGAGAGAACAAGAAAGCAGAGATCTAAGGATAGACTGATGCAGTAAGGCAGACAGCTTTGAAATATGGACCAGACAAAGGATGAACAGAGATGAGATGAAGGGCAGCTGCACAATATGGATAGTGTCATTTTTTAAAATGGATAAATAAACTGAACCTTTGAATCTTTGATTATACCTCCTTAAGATAACACAAGGTTTTCAGCTGTAATATATTTTTAAACCTTTGTTCTGGAAGGTTTCACTGAAAGCAGCGGTCTCATCTTTAGGAATGCTTTGATCACGCTCACACAGTTGCACCCATTCACAGCTGAAGCTGCCCACCTTACCAGTACAACCACAGTTTGATCAAATGGCCACTGATCTCAAGGGCAAGTGCTGCTTTTTCACTTATTTATTTTGGGTTTGGTCTGGGTTCAAACCGGTGACCGCAAATGATCACAAACTCAAAGGTGAGCGAGGGCAAGTGTGTGAAAATGTGTGCTTTTGTGTGACTGCTACCCTCAATGTAATTGTTTTTAGACTGTGAAAATGCAGAGCCAAAGGCAAGCGGCAATTAAGGCTCATCCACAAATGATACAGATTCAGGGAGATGGCTATGCGTGTATGTACAATGGAATGTGTATTTCAGCCTCCCTCAGAGAAAATCACTGCGTGGGTGCATGTGTGACTCTGCAGTTTTCAAGCATAGCCTCAAGTTTTTACTGCTGTTTCTGTTTTTTCCCTTAATTCAGGTCAAATGTATTATTTATCCTCCTCCCACAGCTACCTGACACACACACACACACACACACACACACAAGCAAAGCTGGAGGACAAAACAAACCTATAGGGAGACTGACAGAACGTAAGCACACACACTACATTTCCTCAAGGTATCCAACATATCCCTCACTCAATGCACCACAAAGAACTTAACACAGTTTCTGAGAAAAAGATATTTCTCTTTGAGACAGCACAGGTTGGAGCGCCTCACCCTTCAACATACATTTAATCTACAAAGCTTCACAGTCAGGGTGGGACACAAACCGACATCTCTTATCAGCGTTTTATAGCAACATGAGCCAAACAAGTAAAACTCTGTACATCACATATTGCTAAGTGTACCAGGACACTTTTAGGATAAAAAAATATATAGTTAGGAATACTTGTGCAATGCAGGAGATTTAAAAAGAGAGATAAAGAAAGCGTTATGTTACCTCCACTGGGGTGTAAGCAGTGCTCTTGTGCCTGCATCTGTGGCCATAGCCCAGAGTTGAATGAAATGTGAAAGAGGTGTTGAGAGAGGAAGCCTGAGAGAGGGGGAGCAACACTAACAAAAGGTCCACTCAGTGATTTTCCTATCTGGCTGTCTTTCCCTTCTGGGCGTACAGGCCGCTCGAGGCTCAGGCACTGAACGAGAGGAGACGCCACAAAACTCAGCACTGTGTGTTTGCTGCCATTCTGTATATGTGCCAGAGACACTGTTAGGTTATATAACCTAGTAGTGGCATTGTCATCAGTGCCAAAGCCAGCACTGACTCTCTCTCTCTCTCACACACACACACACACACACACACACACACAAGTTGCCATTTCATGAAAAGACGAGACGGGGTTCACTGCAATGCCAGAGGGGTTGAGGTGCAGTATATTAGAGTTGTAAACACATAACACCACACACACACTCCCTCGGCCCATCCACCTAGAGCGTACTCACATATACACAATGACCAGTACACTCCCATATTCAAACTGTCTCCTGCAGATGCCATCTATCCATTTAATCCGTTCATCCCCTTCAGTCTCCCATCCCTCCATCTTGTAATGTCCGGTCTCTGTGCTGGCAATGACGAGGGTGTCTGTGTCTTCAATTGGTCTAGGGATGAATGTGAATGAGCATCAGTGGTGAGGAACCAAATGACACCACCGTTATATAAAGGCATTGGCCATTCAGTGAGGACAGCTAGGCTTTTATTTAGCCTCTAGATACAGCAGACTGTGTTTGTGTGTGTGTGTGTGTGTGGGGGGGGGCTAGCTAGGCTACCAAAACATAGCCTACTTATCCCTTCAGCCCTTTCTATAGACAGTCATGTGACCATCATCGCAGTGGTTCGTGGAAACTCTTCCCAATCCCCAGTAAAATTCTTGAGCTTGTATGAGCCTGTCTATAAGATATCTCTGCTGATCTGTGTGTGTGTGTGTGTGTGTGTGTTTTAATGACTGTATGACTGTGTTTTAACATTTCGCTCTGAACATTCCAGAGTTTCATAATAATTTCCAGAAATTCCCAGGTACAAAACAAAACATATTTTTACTATACAGCAGGCAAAAACGTTTCTAGAGGCAAACATACAGTACCAGTTCAACATGCTTGCTAATAAACTCAACACAAACTGTACCACAACACTGACTGTATTTTCTCATGAATAAATATGGATTTTTTTGTTCTTTGTGGGAAAAACTGCCAAAAGTCAAGGACACTATCAGAAAATTATAAAGCTCTAAAAACAGTTTTTATAGTCTTTTCTACTCTATCTTTGGATAAACTCTTTTTTGTTTTGGAGGGATATTTGATATTTGATGGAGATGACAGAAGTGGGAAGAGATAGATGGGAAATGACATGTAATAATAATCCCCAGCAGGATGTGAAGTGGGAGCGCTGTATTCTTAGCTCCAAGAGCACCAGGACGTCCTTGAATTGAGAAAACATTTGCAAAGAGAAGACATTTAGGTTGATCCTCAGTTTTTTAGTGGGACCATATGAGGGTGTGGACTTGGCTTTTTATTTAAGGCCAGAATTAGGTTGAGGTTGTGATGTTCAAAGATAGGTTTAGTGGACTGAGAAGAACATTATGTCTTTGGCAGGTCTGACTCTGAATGCAACACACACACAAATCTGCAGTTGTTATAAAAGTATAATGGCACAAAACGTGTTCAGACAGTCTTCTCAAAATTGTCAGTGTCTTTGGGAGTGCCTCAGTGGATTGTAACACATAGTTGTACTGAACTACATGCATACAGTCTGTGCATGTCTGTGTGTAGGTGTGTTTGTTTGCCTGTTTAGCTCTGAAGGTGAGTTGACAAAGGTGAATAATGCGTCATAAGTGGTGGGAGAAAAGAGTAAATAACAGCTTCAGAAAAGAATCCGTTGATATTCCACGTCAACTGAGAACAAAAGAGTAAAGTCTGAGAGCGCATGAAAACATACACACACACAAACACTCACACACACATTCATACTTAGTAATAACACGTTACATAAACGTTGTAATGTCAGCATGTGTAAATGCTGATTAAGTGCACTGCAGCCAGTTGATGAACATGCTAATGTAGCTTAATAAGGCTGCCCTCAGCAGATATTTTGTTAGACAAGACTACTCTGTACTTTTTCTAAGAGGACACAGGCATGATTTCCTTTTCCTCTGTAAAATTAGACAAACACGACTCCCTATAATTGATATTACTGGATCTTTCCATCGCTATCCACTGCCCTTACTGCTCCTTATGTCACACATCACTGCATCACTATAAATGACTGTAATATGTGACAGTCTTCAACTTATAAGTGCTCCTAAAGCTACTAATTGCTTATCTTGGAACGACAGCATCACGTCCAAGGCTGCAGGAACAGCCTGTCACCAGCTCGGCTAATTGCTTGGATTTCTCTTCAAACACCAAAAACTGTCACAGTTCACAGACAGGCTGCTCCCAGTGAGAAACATTTGCATCAGAATATGGTTCTTGTAACATTTCTTTCTTTAAGATGCAGGAACCTGCAGATCAGCCACAAAGTGCTCCACAGTTTGAAAGTTTGGTACTCGTACCACGAGTATTTCATGCTTTTTTTATGGTTGGACGTTATTCATCTCTGATAGAATGCTATAGGGATGACATATGTTTGTAGGCCAACCTGAAAGTTAGCATCACCCT